GTGAGTGTTGCTTGGTGTTATTCTCCACGAAACAGATGTCAGGTGAGTGTTGCTGGGTGTTGTTCTCCACGAAACAGATGTCAGGTGAGTGTTGCTGGGTGTTATTCTCCACGAAACAGATGTCAGATCAGTGTTGATGTGTGTTATTCTGCACGACACTAAATAAAAAGGAAATAGTCCTTACCTTGTTAAGGCCGACGACTACTCTCCTGAGGCACTAGTAATATTCGTCAGTGTTTTCCTTCTTCCTTTTCATTATCTCCTCTTTAGGAGCCACGAAGTCGTGCAAAAAGAGCAAGGGGGCCACTTTTGTCGCTAAAGTACCGACAGATTTCTTTGCTGTGGCTCTTGCAGTATTTACTTTGTGACGTAAATGGTTTAAAAAACCTTTAAGTTGAAGAATGAGAGACTTGTGCAACATTTAGGAATCTTTATTGAGGAAACGTTTCTCTAGCCAGTGGCTTCTTCAGTCCAATACAGAGAAGAACAGTGGAAGATCAGGAGGAGTATAATCAGTCGCTCAGCTTGGAGTCAATGTATTCAGTCCATCAATCTTGAGAAAAATACAGCATATGGTCGGAGAAGTGGCTTATATACCGCAGTCAGGTGAGCAGTAGCAGGCGGCGGCGGAGTCACCATAGGTCAAATCCACTAGTGTAAGTAGGTCATGCCTGTAGGTTAGGCGAGCCTAGAAGAGTTCACGTTGTTGTAAGTCATGTTTTTTGTAAGACGCTGAGGTAGTGTGCTGCAAGGAAATTGCAACTTATCTGTAGCTAAATAAACCAAGGAAAATTTGGGATTAGACCCCATGAATCGTAAAACTCCTGCCGACATCTTGAATTGAGCTCTGAATAAACAAAATTTGAATTAGCAGACATCTTTTACCATCTAGCGACCTCTTCGCTGTTCTTCAGGAACACAGAACCTAATTCTTCGATCCTGGACGCTGCCCAGGAAAATGAGTGTGATCTCTAGCAGCTCCTGATGATCAACATCTCTCCAACTCATCCTTCGTGAGCTTAATGACCTCATCTACTCACTGAGCTGTTGGTTCCTGGAATCCAACAACCGCTAAAGATGATTGATGGGTGACGGACCGACCTGCTGTTGAAACAGCTTAAGAAATGTAGTTTCAGGCTTAGTGAAAGGACCCATGGAGAGTGAAAAATTCCACCTTCAGGACAATCTCCAGTGGGTTCCACTCGGTGGCTTTGTCTACAGCATCCGTCATTGCTCTCCCAGTCCCGCCTGGGAGTTTGGGAACTCCCAGGACCTGATAATGCATTTCAAGAGGCCAGGATTAGAAGCTCATCCACTCCTCCCTTCCCGACGACGTCAGTCATCATAATTCCACTCCGGTGGACGAATGGAGTACTGGAGCAGCATTTTACCTCCATAAATCTCCTAATGCTTCATGTGTTAACGACAGACTGATGAATGGTTGATGGTCAACTCTAAAGTTGTTTGTATCACATGCAAGCAAAATCTGTAAAATTGCTCATAGGGCACTCACGCATGGAAATAGTCCTGTGAATCTTGCCCTAGATACAGTGCACCAGCGTTGAAAATTTTACACTGATTAAATAAGGCGTTCTCGAGTAATAAAGGAAAATAATGGAAGTTGTGGCCAAGTGACCTGCAGGTAGAGACGAGAATGAAGGTAACTTTTCTGTCAGAATTACTATTATAATCATGGAGGGAGCGCTAAACCCTCAAGGATCATACAGCGCATGAGGAATGGGAAGCAGCAAGTTACATTTCAAAGAAGGGGAGGCTAGGCCCACTTCCTTGGATCAAGAGTTCCTCACATACATCAGGGCATCCTCTGTAAGGAAGTTTTTCGTTCAGGGAGCCTCGTCAAGGGAGCTTCGGTGATGGTGTGGAGCCTCTATTCTAAGTACTTGAGTTTATGCTTCAGTCCATTGAATCGCGTCTGAATGCCTTACCATTCTCCACCCCTTCCCCAGGGGGCTGTATGGCCATAATAATGAGTCTCCAGAAAGTGCCTGTGCATGAGCGTCACTGTTCTTGACACTGTCTGAGGTCAGTACGACTGCTGCAGTCACAGCACTCTCCTTCCTCTGCTCTGTGCAGGTACACTTATCATACATAGTGTAAATTGCCAAGGATAATACAAAAAAGTTAGTGACATTTTCATTGAGGTCCTGGACTTCCATTGGAGTCCTTGACTTATTTCCATTGGGGTCCTTGACTTATTTCCATTGGGGTCCTTGACTTATTTCCATTGGGGTCCTTGACTTATTTCCATTGGGTCCTTGACTTATTTCCATTGGGGTCCTTGACTTATTTCCATTGGGGTCCTTGACTTATTTCCATTGGGGTCCTTGACTTATTTCCATTGGGGTCCTTGACTTATTTCCATTGGGGTCCTTGACTAATTTCCATTGGGTCCTTGACTTATTTCCATTGGGTCCTTGACTTATTTCCATTAGGGTCCTTGACTTATTTCCATTGGGGTCCTTGACTTATTTCCATTGGGTCCTTGACTTATTTCCATTGAGGTCCTTGACTTATTTCCATTGGGTCCTTGACTTATTTCCATTGGGGTCCTTGACTTATTTCCATTGGGTCCTTGACTTATTTCCATTGGGTCCTTGACTTATTTCCATTGGGGTCCTTGACTTATTTCCATTGGGGTCCTTGACTTATTTCCATTGGGGTCTTGCGCACCTGGTATCACCTTACACACCTGGTATCACCTTACACACCTGGTATCACCTTGCACACCTGATATCACCACACCTGGTATCACCTTATACACCTGGTATCACCTTGCACACCTGGTATCACCTTACACACCTGTTATCACCTTATACACTTGGTATCACCTTACACACCTGGTATCACCTTATACACTTGGTATCACCTTACACACCTGGTATCACCTTACACACCTGGTATCAGCTTGCACACCTGGTATCACCTTACACACCTGGTATCACCTTATACACTTGGTATCACCTTACACACCTGGTATCACCTTACACACCTGTATCACCTTATACACTTGGTATCACCTTACACACCTGGTATCACCTTACACACCTATCACACACCTGGTACCACCTTATACACTTGGTATCACCTTATACACTTGGTATCACCTTACACACCTGGTATCACCTTACACACCTGGTATCACCTTATACACTTGGTATCGTCTTACACACCTGGTATCACCTTACACACCTGGTATTACCTTACACACCTGGTATTACCTTGCACACCTGGTCTCACCTTACACACCTGGTATCACCTTATACACTTGGTATCACCTTACACACCTGGTATCACCTTACACACCTGGTATCACTTTGCACCTGGTATCACCTTACACACCTGGTATCACCTTATACACTTGGTATCACCTTATATACCTGGTATTGCCTTACACACCTGGTATCACCTTATACACTTGGTATCACCTTGCACACATGGTATCACCTTACACACCTGGTATCACCTTATACACTTGGTATCACCTTACACACCTGGTATCGCCTTACACACCTGGTATCACCTTATACACTTGGTATCACCTTACACGCCTGGTATCGCCTTACACACCTGGTATCGCCTTACACACCTGGTATCACCTTATACACTTGGTATCACCTTACACACCTGGTATCGCCTTACACACTTGGTATCACCTTATACACTTGGTATCACCTTATACACCTGGTATCGCCTTACACACCTGGTATCACCTTATACACTTGGTATCACCTTACACACCTGGTGTCACTTGGAAATTCAAACAGTAATCACAAGGCTTACTAATTTCTTATACAGGTAAGTACAAGGCTTGGTAATGTGGATAGCAGTTGTCAGAGGGAGGGAGGAGTACTAGCGGATGGGAGGGAGGAGCACAAAAGAGGAGTAGAGGGAGGGAACAGGTGAGGTGCAGGTGCACCTCACCTTTTATGTTGTGATTAGTGAAGATCACCTGCTGCCTCTGCCCAGCTGAGCTTCCGGGGTCACACCCCCCTCCTTCAAGGGAGGGGGCAGGTTGGGGGGGAGGAGGAGGGAGGGGCAGGATGGGGGGCAGGAGGGAGTGAGGGCTTAAGGTATTCCTTCGTCTCCTCATGTCATCCTTCACACCAACCCCAACCTCCTCACCTCCCCCCCCCTAGCCATGATGGAGGTTATGTAAAGCACTATGACAGGGAAACATACCTAGCTTTTGTTCTTACTGTGGAACTATAATATAGAATAATGTAGCAGCAGCACACTACTGATTTATCCAGTTTTCTCTAAAATAATACACGGGTGTCTTAGGTGGGGCTAGATTATATCTACATTCATCAAGTTCGTAGAGGGAACTGGTTAAGTTGCTGAAGTTAGTTCCTGATGAGTTTGTGGCGCCCACCATGGACTGCGTTCTGCTAGCAGCAGCAATGCGATTGATCAAGCCGTTAGCTAGGATTAGACGCAGTGAACAATGAGGACCTCCCAACTGAGTGCAGGAAGATTTCATGTAGAATGTATACCTACAACATTTATGTGCATTACTATCAAACTAATACTACCGTCAGAACAGTAGATTTGTAGACTGAATATAACTTATCCCTCATTGGTTGTGCTTTTTTGAATAGTTGTCTTTGATTACGATATTGTTAAAGTACATTGAAGTACTCAAACCCATTTGGTCAGTAACTAAGTTTCCACAGGTCGTTTACAAGTAAGATTCTAGGAATAAGTAGGGAAGGTCGCAGGTCAAGAACTATAGATTCTTACAAGACGAGTATCGAAGACTACACACAAGTCGAAGTATCGTGTAAGAGTCTGGTAGAAAAGCAGAGATTCATCCTCGAAAATACAAATTGTTGAGTACACACTGGAGAACTGCAAATGTGGTCCCAATATTCAAGCAGTGACAAGTAGGGGTTACAGAGTAGCATCACTGATGTGTATATTATCCAAAGTATTGGCAAAAGTAACCAGGAAGGAGTGGATTGAGCGCCTAAAGAAGAGAA